TGCTACTCTTGCCGTCTCGCAAAGTCTCGCATTTACCATTCGCCACCCCTATTACTGTTGTTGAATCTGCCAACAGTCAGTGTCTTGTGCGTCAATTAGAGGCCGCGTGCATTTTGTATCCTTTCTAAAAAATACACAAATTTGATGATATATTCAGGAATAACCACAATATATAAAAAAAAAATGTTATTTACTAGGTTAGGTCGGTCTGTATTGGAAAAAAAAAAAAAACTGTGCCCTCTGTCTTGAGTACCACCTGAGGCCCAAAGACCTCGGACGCAGTTTTTTCCACCACGGACCTCCCGTCTGGTGAATCACAAATATTTATTATCATGGGCCAAGTTTTTTCTAGCGCGCGGCACGTTGACTTCCTAAAAAATATGAAGTAAACACAAGCTAAGGGTATAGGCGCAATTTAATCGAGTCAAACAATACCAGACTTGAGAGTATTAGATGAAGGCCTGATATAGGATGCTTTGAAGTCCACGGCAGATCCAAACCTAACTCTGAAAGCGGCGAGGGTGAAAGACTAAAAGCATTCAGTACAAAATTACCACGAACCGTCTGATAGAAATAAACTTCTCCATTACCGTTTACTCCATTCTTACGCGCTGTTGTTAACCCCAGAGAGCTTTCTGGGAAACGTGTTTGCAGTTACAGGACATCGCGTGACTAAATTGACATTATACGATGTGTCACGATATGTAAATTAAACAAAACACCTCAGACGTGTGTTAGTTACTCTTACTCCTTCGAGACTGCTGCGCTCCTTATCATGTCAAGAAGACTTGTAGCCATTGCTGTGGATTCCAGCGAATACAGCGAGAAGGCATTTGATTGTAAGTACTCAAGAACACGTTTAAATCCGTGATCTACATGAAATCATCATTGTACCTTCCTCGAACGCAAAATGCGTTTGTAAATACAATTCAAGTCGAGCGGCAGCTTGTTGTGTACACGACAAGTCAAACTGTTTTCAACTCAAGGATGTGCATATGTTACGGCCAAAATAGAATAGTTAATATTTACTTTATGAATACCTTGTCTGAAGAGAATCTGCTAAAATTTAATCGATGGTTTGACCCGAAGAGCGACAAGAATACATTTGCGTGAGAATCTGCACGGAGGTGAATATATTATCTTGCAAGCAGATTACGTTGCATCGAAAATAAACCTGCCATTTGACTTGATTTGATACAACAATTTTCATTTCGCCCAAATGATATAATACCAACGGAGAAGTGAGAAGTAATACTAAGGACGGTGGGGAGCTTCGATACCAAAACGAGCCACGGGAAGAAGTAAGGGGTACCTGTTCTTATATACCTGTTTACCCACACGGATTTGAAATGACACGCTACGTGTCATCTTCACCCATCTTGCTAGAACGTTGTGTCATTGAACCAAACTTTTTGGTTTAAATTCTTTAGACAGAACCTCATTTGTTAAACAATTTTCACCAAGTGCTAATGTCAACGTTATTGTTCCTCAGCCCTCGAGATCCATCTGTGTTAGAGTAGCTTAGATGTTTGTTTAGCTCCTTTTTTTTGTTTCCATCTTTGTTTATTCTATGCAGGGTTTATGACAAATGTTTACCATGATGGCGATAAACTGCTTGTAATACACTCGCATGAACTGCCGACCCCGGCTATGCCTCGTAAGTATTATCTCTGCACCTTGAGTGAAATACATTGAGTGGAGGTGCCAGGGGAGAAGTCTTTTACATTTGAAACTTCCGTACTTAGCAGAATTCATTGCAGAAATTAAGGGGTCATCTTACGATTTTATAGGCACTACATTTGTTTCTCCAAGGCATAAAGCTGAGATAGATTTCTGAGTAGGGTCAAGATGGGGCAAGAAAAGGTGAATTGGGAGGCTGTTTACGCTATGTGATGGATACATATGCTGAAATAAAGAAAAAAGAAACATTTTTTATTGTTGTCTTTGAAGATATGATGGCTACCGATGCATGGCACAGTGAGGTTGTGAAACACCAAAATACCATAAAAGAACTGGAGAAGAAATATGAGAAAAAATGTAAAGACTTGAAGGTACAGGTGTTATTCCATACAGTTAGTACCTATATCTTCTGATCACAAAAACAATGAAACCCATAGCTTCCAATTCTAATTCTGATTACATATCGATAAAACTCAATTTGCAATTGAGAGTACTGTAATTTGTCTGATAACCCCCTCTCAGACAAGCCCTTCTCTCTCTCCAATAAGGTTCCTTCTCTAACAATCCCCTCCCCGAGTTACCCAGAGCTAGCTGACTTCTACTTATTTCTTTGCAAAATTCAGCCGCCCGTTTACATGAGGTTGTGAACATATAAATGGGGCCTGATAAGCCATGCTCTGATAAAACCTTCTCTCTAATAAGCCCCCTCCCTGAGAGTCCCTCTCTCTCTTGTAAGCGCCCCCCGTCTGACGATCCGTTTCTCTTGAATATGCTCCCCCTCTCTCTGATACTTCCCCGCTCTAACGAATAAGTTCCTCTCTCTGACAACCTCCTCTATCTCTCTTATAAATCCCCTTCTTTGTCAAATCCCTCTCTATCTTACGACCCCTCTTTCTTACAGTCCCCTTTCTCCCTATAGAGCTCTCCTCTCCGACAATTCCCACACTTTCTAATACCCCCCCCCCCACCCTGCGTCCTCTTTGATAAACTCTCTCTCTAACAATTTTTCTCCTGAGATACAATGAAATATATGAAGTTCATATATTTTGTACTGCGGTATTAGATACATATGATGCACGATCCTCGCAGTAGATAGCGCTATTTAAGCAATAGCGAAAATCAGACCTGAAAAAAATCAGGCCTGTACGGGATTCGAACCACTGACCTCTGCGATACTAGTGCAGCGCTCTACCAATTGAGCTAACAAGCCAACTGGGAGCAGGCCGTTAAGTTGATTCGTAATAAACCCGTGAAAGTGATAAATGAGATACAATGAAATATATGAAGTTCATATATTTTGTACTGCGGTATTAGATACATATGATGCACGATCCTCGCAGTAGATAGCGCTATTTAAGCAATAGCGAAAATCAGACCTGAAAAAAATCAGGCCTGTACGGGATTCGAACCACTGACCTCTGCGATACTAGTGCAGCGCTCTACCAATTGAGCTAACAAGCCAACTGGGAGCAGGCCGTTAAGTTGATTCGTAATAAACCCGTGAAAGTGATAAATGAGATACAATGAAATATATGAAGTTCATATATTTTGTACTGCGGTATTAGATACATATGATGCACGATCCTCGCAGTAGATAGCGCTATTTAAGCAATAGCGAAAATCAGACCTGAAAAAAATCAGGCCTGTACGGGATTCGAACCACTGACCTCTGCGATACTAGTGCAGCGCTCTACCAATTGAGCTAACAAGCCAACTGGGAGCAGGCCGTTAAGTTGATTCGTAATAAACCCGTGAAAGTGATAAATGAGATACAATGAAATATATGAAGTTCATATATTTTGTACTGCGGTATTAGATACATATGATGCACGATCCTCGCAGTAGATAGCGCTATTTAAGCAATAGCGAAAATCAGACCTGAAAAAAATCAGGCCTGTACGGGATTCGAACCACTGACCTCTGCGATACTAGTGCAGCGCTCTACCAATTGAGCTAACAAGCCAACTGGGAGCAGGCCGTTAAGTTGATTCGTAATAAACCCGTGAAAGTGATAAATGAGATACAATGAAATATATGAAGTTCATATATTTTGTACTGCGGTATTAGATACATATGATGCACGATCCTCGCAGTAGATAGCGCTATTTAAGCAATAGCGAAAATCAGACCTGAAAAAAATCAGGCCTGTACGGGATTCGAACCACTGACCTCTGCGATACTAGTGCAGCGCTCTACCAATTGAGCTAACAAGCCAACTGGGAGCAGGCCGTTAAGTTGATTCGTAATAAACCCGTGAAAGTGATAAATGAGATACAATGAAATATATGAAGTTCATATATTTTGTACTGCGGTATTAGATACATATGATGCACGATCCTCGCAGTAGATAGCGCTATTTAAGCAATAGCGAAAATCAGACCTGAAAAAAATCAGGCCTGTACGGGATTCGAACCACTGACCTCTGCGATACTAGTGCAGCGCTCTACCAATTGAGCTAACAAGCCAACTGGGAGCAGGCCGTTAAGTTGATTCGTAATAAACCCGTGAAAGTGATAAATGAGATACAATGAAATATATGAAGTTCATATATTTTGTACTGCGGTATTAGATACATATGATGCACGATCCTCGCAGTAGATAGCGCTATTTAAGCAATAGCGAAAATCAGACCTGAAAAAAATCAGGCCTGTACGGGATTCGAACCACTGACCTCTGCGATACTAGTGCAGCGCTCTACCAATTGAGCTAACAAGCCAACTGGGAGCAGGCCGTTAAGTTGATTCGTAATAAACCCGTGAAAGTGATAAATCAGATACAATGAAATATATGAAGTTCATATATTTTGAACTGCGGTATTAGATACGTATGATGCACGATCCTCGCAGTAGATAGCGCTATTTAAGCAATAGCGAAAATCAGACCTGAAAAAAATCAGGCCTGTACGGGATTCGAACCACTGACCTCTGCGATACTAGTGCAGCGCTCTACCAATTGAGCTAACAAGCCAACTGGGAGCAGGCCGTTAAGTTGATTCGTAATAAACCCGTGAAAGTGATAAATCAGATACAATGAAATATATGAAGTTCATATATTTTGAACTGCGGTATTAGATACGTATGATGCACGATCCTCGCAGTAGATAGCGCTATTTAAGCAATAGCGAAAATCAGACCTGAAAAAAATCAGGCCTGTACGGGATTCGAACCACTGACCTCTGCGATACTAGTGCAGCGCTCTACCAATTGAGCTAACAAGCCACTGCGAGGATCGTGCATCATACGTATCTAATAC